CCCCACAAACACACTGATTGAACTGTGAGTGCTACACAGACGCACTGACACTCACCATTTGCACTACCTACTTTAACAATGCATGGTGCACTTGTTGTCTGCAGTGCAATATGTTATACACTGTGAACCAACCATGTGCAATACAACTATTTATATACCCATCACCAAGTATTTTACTGGACTAGCAAAGTAAGATTTTCATTGTACGGTGTAACTGTCTGTTTACTGTGCATATGACAATAATATCTTGAATAACGAAAAAATAATAAAATGTATAAAGCACTGAAATCAATATCTCTTCCTGAAAGCGAATTATATATTGAGAAAAAAAATATTGATACTGTTTAACTGCACCTGCCTTTTCTCCATTGCTCTAGTAAATGATTTACAGTAAAAACTAAGTAGGTCAAGAACAAATAGATGGAGTAATTGGAGTCTCAGATAATAGCTCAAGAGCAGACGCCGGGGTACAGAGGTCTGTCAGTGGACAGTGATGATAGTGGATGGATGACAGAGACAGGGAAACCTAATGATGAGCCTATGACCTATTTCTAACATTCGAGCCAAAAAAAACTTAAAGCCACGGGAAATAGGGAAAAAATGAGAGTGGAGGATAGGGATGAGAAGGCTTTGTGACAGGTGGGGGAGTAGTGAGCCAGGGGAGAGGATCACACTGCTGGACCGTTAGCAAGGATCCGTCTCTATGGCTGTGGAAGCCCTGAGGGCATGTGGAGGTCCGACAGAGATGTGTAGTCCGCCCTTCCATTGCTGAGGGGCATGCTGGAAAGGAAGGAAAGACACTGCCTGGGATAAAAAGAGCTCCCATTGGTCCTACTATGCATCTGTGAGAACACTGCAGACAACAAATGCTCAATAGTAGTGCACGTGGCTCAAATTACATTTGTTATGTACACTGTAAGAGCCTGTATTGCATTTCACCTCCTGCACAACATACCAAACCACACATGTGAAAACAAACAGACTGCAGACAAATTGGGGACTTTTAAAGTCTAAAGAAAAAAATAAACTGGGTTCTGTTTTTTAGGAGGAAATATTTTCTAAAGCTGCGTACGGAATTTCAACTTGGAAAAGATCCCATCAGCTACCTAGCTAAACAAATATTGGCTCGATACCGCTTGCCCAATACCAATACCGTCTTTTCCCCACCCTTTATCAACCAAGCCATTATAAATGGAATGGTTTTACTTCACTTAAACTAGCCATCTAAGAAAACACAATGCTCACACTGTAAAGTCAATATTGTACTGCAGTAAAAGAAACAGAACTTGACACTGCTGATTTTCTTTATTTAAACCTTATCACAGATCTTTTAGCAGCATTTTGGATTGGTCAGCACCACTCAAACAATCTAAATGAAATGTAAAGCGCAACAGTTTGCAAGATTTAATCTGGGTTTTGAAAGATAAAGAAATTATAATTCCAATGAAAAGTAATGGATGCTCCTCAACCCTCAATGTAGCCTATACCTCAATGACCATCCCCCCCCCCCTGATATACGATGTAGTGATCCTTAACTTTCATGTGTTGTCTTTGAAATAACATTTTATTATCAATGTTTTAGGAGAACATCCACACATACCACTTTGTCTTCCTTCTGGTTGTCATTGGAGATCAAGCTCCATTCAATATCCAGCGGTCCAGAATCAACAGGGTCCAGATTGAACTGGCAGTCCAGCTTCACACTCTGACCGCTGGCTTTCTCTATCGATGTTGGCCCCGAGGATGTTATCTCCACACCAGACGCCAAACCTGGACACACAAAAAGACAAAAATCAATGCATGGCAACATGCATCAACAATAAAACCACTGGCATAGCAAGCCAGTAAAACAGAGCTTTTTCGCACTGTTATCAAATTGAGTAGCGAATTGTCAACCACAAGGTATCATCCCCCTCAAGCATACCCAGTGCTATCATCTATTTTACTTCAAATGCTGTAAACATCATTTAAAAAATGAACATCATGCTGTATTTAAGACGACTTGAAATAAACGATTAAATAAAGTATTTTTTTTTTTTTTTAATAAATGGGACACAGGGTTCAGTCCGGAGTTTCAGAAGCCCTGCTGTAACCCATCACCAAACTGGAGCAGACTTAAGCATTTATTCTTAGAACGAATAAACATCATCTCCTGGTGACATGAACTGGGTTAAAATTCTCCATTCAATAAGAGATTTTTAAGCCGCAGCATGGAACACAGTCCATAGAGAATGGAGATGTCACATGCTGCCTCGACTCATTAAAATCCTTCTGACAGCCTGCCACCTTCCAGTCAGCGAGTGGGGGGAGCACAGCTTAAAAAAATATATAAATATATGAAATCAACACAATATGTTGATGCCAAAAACATATGTGTGTCACAAATACTTATCACGTCCTACAAATGACACCAAACATGTGTAACTACACATTTTCTTCTGATAATAGGAGAAATGTTCACACCATCTTAAACGGAGCGTTTTCTTAGCTTCATCTGCATCTCATTACACTGCTTTCACAGTAACCGACAGATGGAGCTGAATCAGAGATAATTGGTGGAACTGGATCCAAACCGAAGAACTGTAAAACATTTTGTTAACCTCTCTTTTTCCTTCCTGCGGAGGTTTAATTTCACCTCAAACAAACAGGAGTCCCTGCATCTACACAACCACAAAAGGATCTAAGAGCGTTGTGAAATGTGTGTTGTACGGAAGATAATTTGTACTAAGGCTTTTAATTGGCCTTCACATCTGTCTTCCAACCCAGCCAACTGCTCTCAATCAAATGTACAAACAGTATAAGAGAGGTTAAGGTGACGAGTATGCGGCTCCACAACAAAGAGGAAGTTGCTAGCTGAATGTTCTAGATTGTGGCCCCTTAGGGTAAGGAGGGTGTGAGTAACAGGTTGAGGTCCATGCCGCATCAAATGTCCATCAGCTTATTCAGCCTCAAACCTCTTTTACCTATGGCATCAACTGTATGAAAATACACCACAAAGGTTTAGGCACATATAGAGAGTGACAGTCGCAGTCACACCCACCATTGTTGAAGCCTGTAAGCACTAGATGTGGTTGCACAGCACTAGCATAGTTGTATTCCCTATCTGTCGGTGTTGCAGCTGGTCGTTTCAGCCCACAGCTTTTGACAGACGCCATTGATGGGAGTTATCCATCGCCTTCAGCAGAAGCAAGAGAAAAAACAGGGAGCAATATAGAGAGAACCAAGATATGTGTCTATCACTGTCAAAGCGGATACACAGCTTGGCATCTGCATGATGGAAAGCTGTGTCAATTCATCAAGCCCTAACATAGGACGGGGGCATTTCTCAAAGTTGCTTAGAAAGGGGAGAAAATGGCAGTCTGTGAGAAATGGAAAGTATTCAGCTGGAACAGAGGGACTGGTTTCTCTGACGAGCAATAAAGGATAGTGTTTGATATAGCTGTTAAATCAATGACAGACCTCTGAGGCCTTAGAAGGCATTTGCTGAATTACAGTTCAGCCAGAGGCCTCTTCCATTCAGCGCTACACAAATGGGAAAAAAGTGCCATTTCAGGAGATCATCCCTCCCACTGGCAAACAGCTTATAAACTTGCCAGTGTAGTGGTTCAGGTGACAGCAGTGCCAAGGCAAATATACAAACACACCAAGAGTGGAACCCTAAAGGTTAATTCCACATAAACAGGAAACTATAAACCTATTTAATCCAGCTGCTGCTCATTTCAAGTTGTGGCGAGGAACTGTGGTGAATGTAAATGAGATGATAGCGTAGCTTTATTTAAAGCCAAAGTTAATCTGAAATGATAGCAAGGCAGATGTTCAAGCCATGAAAATAAACACCTATTTGTACTGAGTGATGGAGTCCTCCAGCTTTAAACTTAAATGTTTTGCCAAAGTTTGAACAGTTTTGGTTATTTAAGAGACATGTTTTACTTTTGGTCCTATCTCTATTCACTTGTTTGGTCCCAATCTTGTCGATTAGCTGAGTTTAAGTCACACTCTTAATATATAAATCCTGTACAGTTTTTTTTTACTTTAACTATGACTGTTACCTATTAAGCTTATTTAATTTTGAAGAGAAATATTGAAGGTGTGTTACAAATGAGCAAAAACATCAAACTATACAAAAAGGATCCTAAAGAAAAAGGGGCACATGTTTACACTTTGTGTACAAGGTGTGTACAATCACTACAACTGAGAGACAAGCTTAGTCAAAATAATCATTTTAATTAAATGCCAATAAAATGAGGTCTGTAAACAGGACACGAAGAAGAGAATTGAGTCCCGGTGAAGATTATGCGACCAGGTAAGCCCACTTGGCTGCCATCGACACAAAGGTGTCACATTAGTTATAAGAGAAAAGGAAGTTTGGCAGAAAACTATGTTCTCATAGGACCCCATTACTCAAAGCAGAAAGATGATTCAGAAATTGCTTTTAGGGCCTTAATCTGTGTTTCCGCCAGACCAGGGCTGAGAGGGCGTCCACCCCGTCTCTTATAGATTACTGTCTTTTTACGTTAGTGAGCCGGATCATTTGGCTCGGCTCTCTTAAAGCGCCGACTATTTCGGCTCCCAAACGGCTCTTCATGTTACCACAGTTTACACAGAGCCTCAGTTTCACCGCTCATCGCGTCCAAATCGCGCATGTTCCGTGTTGTCCTGTAGCAGGCACCTTCGATGTCGGGGAAACGATCTTCAATACTCCAAAAAGAATCCCACCAGACTCTTTTGCCTCTCCAACAGAGGGATGCCCTTGTCCTTTTCGTCATTTCAAGCTATAAAAACTCTCGATCTTCTCTCGAATTATTAATATTTTTTTAAATGACGGCAAGACGCCCCCCTGGCGCTGGCGGAAACGCTGGCCTTAATATTCGCCAATCTTTTCATGACCAATTAAAAACAATAGCCCTAATCAAAACATACCTGACCCGCTAGCCCGCTGCCCCTAGCTTCTCACGGGCCAACAACAAAAATAACCCTGTAACCTAACCTGTAAAAGTCAGCTCATAGTGTTAATCAGTGACTATGTGACTCGGAACAGAAATGATCTTACTGACCTCAAAGTCTCTGCTACGGTGAGATTGTGCTCCATATAATTACTGGCTTATATAGGGTGACTGTTAGTCTATATTTGGAGTAATGGCAGCACAGCTAAAGTGAACTGGCCTTCTTGCTTCAAGGTAATATAATCGACTGATAAGAGACCATCATTACAGTCCAAGGAAAACAATGAGAAATAGACCGTTGATAAATGCAGTCAAGCATGGACAACAGACACATACACAACTTCCTTGAGCTCAGTGTTTACTGTAGTAAGAATGTGTGGCACTGTATGTGTCTGTGTGTGTGTCAACGTAGTGGGAAAGCCGAGCAGTGGGGGGAGGGCACGCTGGCTAATTAAAAAGTCTCTCTTAATAACAATTCATGGCATGGTCTCTTTCCCTCCAGTCTCCCCCACACTGTCTGACACAGCACATCCCAGCATGGTTACTGGGACACTGGGAATGAACAAGAGGAATTTAGGGTGTCAGCGTGCTTCGCCCAATACCCCCACTGCCATTCACTCACTCACTCACTCAACCCCCCACCCCTCCCTCCCTGCCTGTCCTCCTCTTCTCCAACACACCCATGATTGTGGAGTGCCAGTCCCCCAAGGCCTAAGATTCTCTCCGGTCCCGCTGATTGTAACCCCGCAGCCCACCCCCTCCACCTTTGTCGGCATACAATGGGGAGAGAATCCTGTCTCCTGGCAACCAATCCCTCTGAGAAGGTTGCCGGGGCGCTTGAGAGACCGAATGAGAGAGAAAGGTAGGTAGACAGAGGGAGAGAGAGGGCAAGTAGGTGGAGACAAAGGGGACAGTCGCGAAAAGGAAAGTTACCTCGGTATTAATGAACGTTTGTGGAAGTCAGCTCAAACCTGTTTTAGTGAGGCATCTTTATTAACAGGAACATTACAAACAAGCATAGCTTCGATAATTGAAATAATGAGATGAAAATAAATCATGACAACTTGTCAATGTGTGGCTTTCCTTTCTTTGTTTTTCTCATTAAATAATATCCTTCAGTATTTTTTAAGGGTGGTCAGAATATATATATATATTTTTTTTATTTGCCTTAAAATAAAATGTGCGATGGCATCCGTTACCTCATTATTTACTCTCGTTTTTTTGGTACACAAATGGGCCTGCATGGACTCCAATTGTGTGTGCAGTTGCATCATAAACGTTATTTTGTATTAGTGTTTAGTGCCTGGAACATTTGGAGGTTGGAAGTAGGAAATATCAACGGAAGGCATAAAGTACATAGATAATACAGAGGTTAACATTTTTTTTACTGATACTAATATATGTGCAATTAGCTAATAGCTTAGTTTCTCCATGACATGTATAAATGGATACCATTTATGCAAGTGTGTAAAAAGTCTTGGCAGATATTATGATTAAGTGTTAGCAGTAGCTTCAGGAGACAGAATTAAACCCTGAAACAAGGAAACACTAACAAGCTAACCTCCACTGACCCTTATGCTAGTCAGCTAAAGACCCTCTGAGCTTTGTCAGGGGCCGCAGCAGATCATAAGCCTCTTTCTCCTCAACCCTTTGACCTTACAGAGCATCCTTTGGAGTAAAGTCTGAAAAGCAAAGTCTTACCGTGGGGAGATAAAGGCAGCAGCTATTTCAGGCTCACAACATAACAACAACTGCAACAAGAAAAGGCTTGGCTCAGTGAGAGAGGTGAGTGATGTTGCGCTGGGATTTACTTCCGTTTACTTTCTT